TAGAAACGCTGAGGCCGAGTTAGGTGGTCATCTTGGGCTGGACAGGAGATGCACGGACAACAGACAGCACGTGCTTTATATGTCTGTCGACCACAGGTTTCCTTTGCAGCACCCATTTCCCGAACAGCGGAAATTATTTGACCTCGTGGCACCCACCAACGAACCGAACCGTGAGTTGCTTGTGGCAAGGATCCAACACTGCTTTGCGTCCGTTCTGGAATGCCCGTCTGAACTCCGATCATAAAATTGAATCGCTGGCCTTCATTACCCCTTCCAAGTTTGGATGTTGAGATCCCCATCGACCCAGAAATCGCACATATATCAGACCCTTCTCCTCCACCATCCCTCCTCTTGTTTGATGTTAGGTGGTGACAATCACTGGAGGGAGATACTCCTGCTGCGTGGTGCCGGAGCTTCTGCTTGCGGTATAACCCAACTAAACTCTTCAAAACACTGAATCTTTGATGGAGCTATCGTTTGCCTGGAGGCTTAATGGGATAAACTCCGGGCTCAACCGGACGCGCAATCTGACTCCAGATAAGACTGAGTGGCCCTGCAGACCAAGAACCTGTTGTATGTCTAAACGGGTACGATCGACGACTATACGCAACGTGAGAACGAGCGCACGAATCCCCAGCTATGACACAAACCCAACCACTCCTAGCTCAGAGAAAAGAAGACCGGACTTTCCGGGGAGAGCTTTAACTGCCTCAACCAAAGGTGAAGTACAGCGGGAGCATGGTGGAATATATATATATATATATATCGGAGACGCCCAACATAACAATTTAAAAGTTCAAATTTTTAGAAGATAAAATATCCAATAACTCGAAAAGTGAACTGTTTTGGGGTATACTGATATCACCAGCACCTCCCCTTGAAGGAAAAGTCAATAACAGGCGTTTCGTGTGTCAAGCTGGAAAGGAGGTACTTGACGCCCGCGGGTAAAGATTTGGGTCCGTTCCGTGTCGTCTTCGGCTCCGAGTCAGGCGTGATCGCCCATATTTCAAACGTGCCGAGGGTAATGTCAAGTGGTAGGTCAATGTGGCACATTGGCTGTTCCGAAGCATGACGTAGACAGAGTTGATTCTTAGTCATCGTCCTCACCGACAGCGTGACATCAGTGTTCATCATTGATGCCTCACTGCCGTACAAACATGACTTATTTGAAAGCTTCATTGTGAAGAAAAGAGAAGTGAATTGAGAAGGGACTTAGTGAAAACTCACTACTATCATTCCAAGATGCGTACACTTCCCGAATGTCATTCAGATAATCTGGATAGAAACTGACGACAAGAACACCAGTGACATCGATTGGCAGCCATATCTTGCAGCCTGGCGCAGTGGAGATCACGCGAGCCCCATTTTAGAAGACGAGTAGCACCGACAGCACTCAAACGTTTCGTCATCTCTTTCACAACCCTCTGTCAGGTCAAGGGCTTGTCACTTCCCTGCTTCCGCCACACTGATTTGGGCATGAAAAACAACACTTCTACAAACTATGGTAAGGCATCTGCAACACATGTCACATCCAACGCAGCTTCTGGTGCTGGATACATTCTTCAACCGAAAACTCACTTTCTGATTGCCTCGTTATGGATTCGCCAACACCAGCCTACACGAACTATGGTCGTGAGATAACGATTGTCGAACGCCTGGAGACGTCTCAGTTCCGTTTCTCGAACAGGCCAAGTTTCACAGCCATACACCGAAACAGCTTTCACCGTTGCCTGATGAACACGTCCCTTAAGATTAGGAGATACACCACTTTGACGTCATAGATGTCTCAAGTCAGCAAAACTATCCGGGGCCTTGGAAATTCGTGCACTGACCTCGCCTGCCACTCTACTGTCGAACTCCGGTAGCTTATGTTCAGCATTCGACTACAGTGTACAAGCCCCTACAATTTATTGTCTGTTGAGGTCACTTTTTCACTATTGACCGGTGCAAGTCTTTATCGTCCTAGGCGTCAGTATGCCGAACGGCGCTTTGCAGCCTTCGACTGGAGGTGGACGCAGACCGATCACATTGCGGTCAGTTATACACAGCTTGACTGCTTTCGGGGCTGTCAGACAAATTGAGTAACCTGCATCAATTCCTGTGGTGGCCTGGTATGCGTGCCACGTATATCGGTTTGTCGCTTTCAGTATGGCGTTGCATGTAAAGGTAAGGTGGAGCCAACTGTGAGATGAGTAACTGCGGATTTAACAAAAAAAAGACCGTGTTATGGGAACAACTCGCCTTCTAGAATAGAGTCCACTTGACTTTTTGGTTGGCTGGAGACAATTTATGGTGTGACAACAATCCGAATTCATTGAAATGTGTTGCCCGTTTCTATCCAGATTATCTGGCTAGATTTTTAAGTGTTTGTGATAAAGTAGCACTAGTTCCTTTCCCTCCTACTTTTGTTCTCTTTGCACGTCGGATAAATTGACGTGTTTGTTCATTGGTGAAGTACTGGTTTTTGACGTCAGCGATGAGTTATATGGTATTGGACTTCTTCCATTATTACCGGGTCAGTTCAGTTTGTTAACCATGAACCATGTACCAAAGGTACGTTGATTCCGGCTGCTACAGCTTCGGTCATCGGAAAATGGGAGAGCAAGGGGGAAACACTCAGGTATTGGGACGATGGTGTAATCAGTTAGTTGATGTTGAACCGTTCCAGTTGTCTGAGGAGAGGGGGTATTTGGCATTTACGGATTGACCCTGATAAATTTTATGCCGGAACACCACCGGCTGCGCGACTGAGTAACGTTTCTAATGACATCAACCACTGGGGAGTTGAGTCTCGGAGTCTCCACCCAGTTGTTAACCGGACCTTGCTTTCTGGTTAGTGCCTGATGTCATGCTGTCGATGATGATGATCATATCAAGTCGCAGACTGTTCACCGATCGGTCTTTTCACTCCGTACAGTGCTGACTAAAACTAGCCTTGCGAGGAAGACGGTTGTTTGGCTTGTGAAGCACATATCACAGCCATTTTAAATCATCAAGCCTGAGCTGCTCGTCTGTCACCAGAGCGACACTTCTCAAAATTATCTGGCTTACCTTAACATTGGTGATTCGATGTTCCTTCCAAACACTGTCATTACCTCGCAGTCTTAGATGGTCAAGCACAAAGTTTTCGTACATCGCCTGAACCTGAAGTTCATGTTTCTGATCCCCAAAGCAGTGTGGATATACAACGTTGCGTTATCGATTCCGATGTTCACTAGGGTGCTCTTTGCCTTCTGATTTTTCTGGACAATGTAGCTCTTCCATACGCATATTCAGCCATGTGACAAGGAGACATTCTGAAGCTAACCGTAACCCATCCATGCATCTAAGATCATATTATCTGGGTATAGGCAGATAAGCTCCTGGATAACGTCTGCGGGGCGGTTGCACTCAATTGCACACTGTCACTTAACAAAAGCGGGTTTCCCGCGAAAACCTGTTTGAAGACGGTATTCTGTCAAAGATTTCGGCTCTTCACTAAATTAGCCAACATTTTGTCCAGTCTCGTTTGCAGCCAGCCAGAGGTTGTGGGTCCCTTAGGTGGAACTCAGAATCTCATTAGCATGTATAGTTAGTTACCTTACAACATGGTAGCCAGAATGATAAACTAAGTGACCGAGTGATTCGCGTTTTTTGGTGTTAGGTTTTTTTTGGCGATATTCGGATGTGTACCAAATGCGTGGAACCAGTGCTTCCATGGTTTGGATCGGCATCGAAGCGTCTAAGTCGAGGAATCTGGTTCACTGGAGAATTAAATCGTCATACTTTACTCCTGAGACAATTAGTCAGTTTCAGTTTTTAGCGCAAACTTTAGGGTGGCATAAATGTAAGTGTTGGAAGGAGTTATTTCGATTTTGCTCGACTAACAACAAAAATACACCAGCTGAACTGACAAAGCAGAAAACAGGACAATATAAATGCAACAACTGATCGTTCAGCTGTAGCACCCTTTCGGTGCTAAGCTGCCGTGTCACCGAGAGGAAGCGCAAGGGTTGGGATACTACAATCGCCCAAACCTAGACCGGGGAAGTTGAGAGACAGTGGTTTGAACCACGGACCTTTTGGTCAGTAGATTCGCGCTCCAACCACTGAATTCTCCCGCCCACACACGACTTCCACTATGTTCGCGATATATGGACATAAGCCCACTTCAGAATTTTCTGCATTAGTAAATTACAAATTACTTTTGCCCTTTCTGTTTCTTAATATTGTGTAACCTTACTGTTCATCGTATATTAGGTTATCATTTGTATAATGTCTAATAGGCCTGTCGTAGGAAATTTCCAATTGCTCCTAGGTCCCTTGCCTCATGGTGGTATTGCTTCCAGTTGCCCCTGTAAGTTAGCCTATACGCAGTTACAAGGCTCAACTGTATTGTCACCTGCCATTGAACTATCGTTTACTGAATGCGTGTTACACAGCGCTTATCGTCCTTATAGAGTCCATTTCATCCGAACATCTGACCCGTGTGTAACCAGCTAACAGCACTGAGCACGACGAAGTTTGCAAGTCAGTACAACACGAAATCCAACCTAAACTTTAAGCCATATTTCCCTCCTCTAAAATGCTTACATTGATCGTCTTAATTGCGTGGATTTGCATTCTCCATCCTTGCCACTTTCAATGAATAAATCAACGGCTTCTGAAAACGTTTCACTTGAGTCCAAGGTCGGAATGGAACCACACTCTATCGCAGAAAATTTCAGCAGGGGGATGGGGGGGGTTTGGCTCC